GTAATGCTGAGCTAAGACTACAGTGATACTACTACTGTACTCATACTGTACTGTACAGCCGATTCAATTCATATATTGTATGGTCTAGTCTGCTTTTAGGAAACACGTATGAGACTGATGAGACCAGTATTAAAAACAATCTAAATTGAGTGAGAAAATAGAACGCCTGTTCCGTAAAACACAAAATAAGACTCTTTACAGAAAATAAACAATTAACGAGAGGTTCCTAGAGACAAACGGCAATTCATTCACGATTTCCCCATTTTCTTCGTGTCACACAGAACGATTTTAAAAGCAATGTAAATAATAACAAATTAGAAGGAAAAAAAGATTTTTTTAAATACAGATTTCAGTATTCTGACACTGAACGATTTTAGAAGCAATGTATTTCTATTGGTAGTATGTTTCGTGCCTGCACCAAATAATAACAAATTAGAAGGAAAAACAGATTTAAAAAATACAGATTTCAGTATTCTGCGGCTCTGAGCCCCATTTCTTTTCCTCACGGACGGCAAAAAAAAGTCCGACATTATACAATTTAACATAAAAACAATAATCGTGGCTTGATATTGAGTAAGAAAATGTTTTTATGAACCACACAGCTTCCGGTCTTCCAAGATCCGACCGGACAAAAAGACGTGGTGCAGGCACGAAACATACTACCAATAGAAATACATTGCTTTTAAAATCGTTCTGTGTGACACGAAAAAAATGGGGAAATCGTGTTGGTGACATTTATTTCGTGACTATTACACGAAATGCCGTGAGACTGGGTTGATATATGATGCTTACCAGCCTTTATATATTTCTTTAATTAAATAGTTCCTGTTTTTTTTCCCATTTTAAAACAATTCATATCCATTGGTGGAACTGAAACACAGATATCAAATCAGAAGTTGGTGTTTTTGTACTAAGGTCAATCACTATTCTATCCCTCACATTAAACTTAAAACAATTTTTCCAATTTGTTTGACATTCCATTGATTATTCCTTCCTGATTCTGAATCTCTTATTCAATTTCAAATAGTTGAAGAAAGACAGTTGTAAAAAGTATTGTTTTGTATCATTAACCACTCACAGAGTTAACATGTTTCTGTCAGTATCACAACAAAGCCTTGTTGTTGCTCTACCTATTGTTCCCTGCACCTTGTCTGTATTCTTGATGAATGACGCCTCACCTTATAGAGACAGAGGTCAATGACTTGGCTGCAAATGTCCTTCAGGTCATTGTTCACCTGCAGACGGCTGCGCACAAAGGCACACAGTTCCTCGTTACCAATGGCGTCCCACACACCGTCACATGCTAGAATCAGGAACTCGTCTTCGGGCGTCCTCTCCAGCTCGTACACTTCTGGCTCCGGAGACACTAGCTGCTCTGTCTGCGGCCTCCAGTCCACTTCCTTGAAGTCAAAATCCCCCAGTGCTCTGGAGACGGCCAGCGAGCCGTTGACTCTTTGCAGGGTCACGGAGCCTCCAGCGTTCTGGATGCGCTCCTTTTCTCTGGGGTTGACCGGCTTGTGGTCCTCTGTATAGAAGACCACCTGGCCTTTATGGCAGAGCAAGGTACGGGAGTCCCCACAGTTGATAAAGTAAATGTGGCGTGGTGAAGTCAGGACCACTGCTGCAGTGGAGCCACTGTGGTCCCAGTTGTCCTGGCGAGCCATTTTGTGCATGTGTCGATCAATTTCCAGGAAGCCTTCACGGATGCCCTCCTTCACCTGCTCAGGGTCCTCGTTGGCTTTGATCGCTCCTGTGGGAATTGAGGGGAAAACATTATGTTTAAAGGTTCACGCCATTCTGTATAGTTTCTGACGTGGCCATGTTGATTGTTGAGAGGCCAACACAGATGGACACATGTACAGTGTACACTAGGGGTCTTTCTTGTTTGATTTGTGAAATTCCAGGCTCAAACATTTAAAAGTCAGTACTAAGACATCCCTGCATGCAGAAGACACCATCTGTGTGGTTGTGCAATGATATAGTTGAGACAACGAGAAGCCTAAAAAGAACATTTGGCGATAAAAGTTAGCAGTAATGTATGGTAATAATTATGGTACCTTATCTTCTCTAGTAACCAGTTCATCATTAGTTTGTGGCTCTAAAAGTATAAAACTTGACATCTTAGCAAAGGTCAACAGCTCAGATTTGTTTTGATCTCTGAACTCACTACTTTATTTTGCTCTGTGGCCCCCACAAATATCAGAATATCAAGAATTATTTGAGAAGGTAAGAATATTATTTCCTTTTGTATGTGATTTCCAAGGAAATGTCACCATTAAACCTAAGTTGTTATCTAACCCTTACCCTTTAAATAGTGCCATTGAAGGCTTAGTTTGTAACTCATTTTGAATAAACAGTAGCCTTCTTTGTAATGCAAGATATATTTTGAGAAGTTAATGCAGTATGTTTTAAATTATGATGTAAGAATAAGTTAAAAAGTTTTAAATAGCCAACTGTTTCTTCCTATTAGTTTATTACACAGATTTTTTGATTCCGTGGTCCAAAGCGACTACAGTAAGTGCTCTGTATCAACAGCCACAGAACATTTGAGAAATGATCCCCTTACTGAAAGCATTTTCTGTGCTACATCACAACTTGAATATTAAGAATCATTGCTCTCTACCTGTTGCCAGGATGTGTCCCAGCAAGTTCATGGAGCAGTACTCTGCCACTGTGGTGCCTGCATGTCCATCAAAAACAGCAAAGTAACCCCACTCTGTCAGCTCTCCTTCCAGCTGGGGCTTGCAGGTGTGGGCATCCTCCATCTGGGACCTCCAGCCCTGCATATTGGCCATAGCGTAGTTCACCCCCAACTTAGATCCCCCCTCTGACACATGCTTCTCCAAGATGGGTCGATCCAGGTATGGGCTAAGCATTGAGCCGTCTTCATCAAACTTGTCCTCCACCTCAGCGCCTGTTTCCTTGGGGCCCCCTTTGAAGAAGAAGGTGACCATCTTCTCTGTCTCTTTGGCCAGCTGGCGGAGGAAGGAGGGCACCTCCACATTGCTCGCCCGCCGGGCCGTCCTCATCGCTCCACGGAGCCGGTGTTCAAGCTTCCTGCTCGGCTTGGCAGCAGTCCGTCTTTTCCGGGTGCCCCTCTTCCGGCCCTGTGTTTTCCGCAGCAGGTCCAGCTTAAAAAGTTATACTGTATCACCGACACGCAGGTAAACAAATATTCCCTTAAAAAAGAAATAATCCTGTTAAATAAAAAACTATGTTGTTTTTTTGTTTAAAATGATCACGCCCATTTTTGCATCTCTTTGGATATGTTCTTAGACCATCAGGTGTCTTTTCCCCTCTCAGTTTCTATTCTCTATGTCTTCCCTGCTTCTCTTCTTAACCCGTTCTATATCAGCTGTTCTATTGGCCTATCTATTTCTGTTTACTTATCCCTCTGCTCTACCCCCCCTCCCCTCCCACTACCTCTCCCCCTCCCTCTGTCTTTGTACCACTGCTGGATAATCACTTAGCCCTCATGACAGCACAGGTGACCTGTGTCTGCACACATACATGGATTATGATAATGCTGTTTTACAACATCACATTATCAGATTTGCATAGGGATTTTATGCCTGATACAAGATATACTTAATCCAAATAATTTCATTTTGATAATTTGTTTAGTGAGAAATAGTCTGAGTCAACAATACCAAACACTTGTTTCTATTACAAATGGGACTTATTGTGGGGAATGAAGAGTCAATTGTGTTAATACCTCAAAAAAAGCAGTGGTCAACAACAACAATAACAACCTTGTGTCAAGGTTTACTAGCTGTGCATGAGCTTTTGATCATATCACATGATCTTTTTGTGTCATATGTTGACACACTTACTTACCTGAATCACTTCCTGTCCTGTTTGTGAATTTCTCATCTAAATGGTCAGAGCATGACAGCTATGTGTCTTAATCGTATGAGCTGCTGTATATCTGGAGCTCCTGACCTACATGTAGGCCGCTTGAGGTTTCATTGCGGAAAGCACTATATTGGTGAGACTGTCCTTCTCCAGCTTTAAATAGGACTGTACCTAATGTGATTCTTCAACAGCAATCCAGCTAATAGTTTTTGTCTGTCTCACATTTACATAGCAAAGTAGAATGTGTTTCTACCAAATCTGGCCATGTTTCCACTGAAACCACTTAGCTACCGGTCAGACTATGTGAGGCTTTAACAGCATAACAAAAGTTATATTGTCTCACTTTAAATGTCTTACATGTTATTATTGCCTTTATTCAATTCAAGTTTATTTATATAGCCCAAAATCACAAATCCTATTTGTCTCAGAGGGCTTCACAAGTCAACAAACTAAATTGGCATTCAAAACATTTAGTTATATTTAAATAAATGTATCTGCAACTCATTTGCTACTCTAACCATTTCCGTTGCCCCCTTTCAAACAATGTGCATCGGTTACATCTACTCACTGCTGCCCCCTGCTTTTCACTATTGCAAAGACCTCACTTCCTCTTTTGCTGCAGTTAAGTTTGTACATTATTTATACTCCGAGTTTAATGATTAATTTAGCAGAGGTTTGCTCATAAAGTTCATATTTTTATTTGTGTAAAATATTTCTCATATGAAAGTGAGTGTGATATATATTATATATATATACCTAAATAAAGTAAATCTGATAAACCCTCCTTCTGGTAAGCTACGAACCTGCCTGGGGCTTCAGCCTACCCAGAGCCGTATAATATAATCTCTCTATATGGCGCTGAGCCTACCCATCTTCAAATGCATCTCTGAGTACATACATATTGTACGTTATACATTGTTAATGACCTGTTACTCCTTCTTTCAGACCCTCGTCCTATGAGATCCTAAGATCAAATCACATGACGAGGGGAGCGAGACACAGAAAAGCAATGAATGGGAGAGGACTGCCGGCCCACACTCCTCTCACTTTTGCTGTAGCGTACATTACTACAGCTGCAGTCATAAGGATGAGAGAGGGGATGGAGAGAGGAGGAGGAGGAGAGAGGAGGGAGGCAGGGCGGGGCTGCTGAGTGATAGCAGAGTGAGGAAGCTGCTCAACGGACCGCCAAGAAACAGAGGGAGGAGGAGGAGGAAGAGAGAGAGTATTTCCACAGGAGGTGAGCGCCGGCTTCAGAGGAGGTGGGGGGGGGGCTTCCAGACTGGATGGGCCCAGCGATGCCTTGATGGAGTATGGGCCAGGTTTTAGGATTCTCCCACTGCCGTGAGTCTGCTTTTGTTCTGCTGTTTCCTTCTGTGTTTCCATGTGGGAGGTCTTTTCTATCTCACTCTACCTTTTTGTATATGTAGCCATTGTGTTTCAGCTCAGCATCTTCTCTTGCTAACAGCTGTAAGCATCGTATGTGTTAGCTCAGTCCCCTTCCTGCCTGCTCTCCATTCCTCTCTCCTATGTTTGGTTAACACATGGCTGAATTGATAGATGCAGTGCAGAGGGAGAGGTATTCTGTTGTCCTTGCATCCCTCTGATTTATAGATGTTTGTGTGGCTGTGTACGAGGAGGCTTTGCAGGCAGGCATCTGAATAATGCAAGTTGTTTCTACCCTAAAAGCTTCTGTTGTGTGCTTTTATGTCTGTGTTTTATTTCATCTTTTTCCCCCAACAGTCACATGATTTTCAAGTGGTTTTATAAATACTTGCATGTGTTTAAGCATGCGCAGAAGAGAATATGCTGCACACTTAGCTCCGCCTGGGTTGATTTATTAGCTAATGTCATGCTGGCTATCTAATGTAGTTTAAGGCCAGTACTGCTGCCAGCTTGGCTTTGTAAGAAAATAAGTCTGTATTCACGGTTGTCTATGACATCTTAAATCACATAAAGCAGTTCACTGTTATTACTTGGACTCAAGTAATAATAGGACTCAAAACAAGGTACTGAAATGTTTAGTTTATGTTCATTTTAATTTCACATGAGTACACATACATTGAAGATTTGGAGAGGCCTATTAATCAGAAGAATGTAAGGGTTGTATTTAAAAGGTTAACTACATGTAAAAGCAGCAACAACACATTTCTAACAATCTTTTTCTATGGCATGTTGTCTAGTAATTTATGTAAAATTGTGTCTGTGTTTTCTTCCAGAGGAATATGGCTCTGTGGCTTCCACTCCAGACTCAACACCTCCCTGCACCGATGGTATGAGGAACAAAATAATTCTGTCTCACAATACTAACAAAAATAGAAAATCCCTGCTTCCTGAAGGCTTTTTTCTGAACGTTTTGATCACTGGTACATTTTTGGGGAGGAGAGATGTTTATGCACTTATCAAAGAGAGTTTCATTCACTTGAGATGTCTCACCTCCTTTTCTCCCAGACATCAAACGACACACCTGGCTGCTTTTATCTGACACATCTATTCATTCAAAGCACTATCCTTGTATGCCTCTGGATTACAATACACACTATTATCAGCAGTCTCTACCTGTATAAGCTGTGGTTTGGGGTGACCCTATTCTTTCTTATTCTGTCTCCATTCAGGCGGAAATGATGAGTCTGAGTTGTGCGAGCTGCAGACAGCCAGGGAGTGGTCTGACGATGAGGAGGGGGAAGATGATGACGAGGGTCTGCTTTCATCCTCGTCCATCTGGGGCACGCCGCGGCAGAACTCCTCCGAGCTGACTTTCTCTTACATCGCCATCGCCGAGGCCGAAGCCGTGGGAGCCTCGCGACACTTCCGACGCCGGTGCGCCTCTCGGGGGAGTCGCACTCCTTTGATCCGCACGGACACCCTGGAAACACTGTTGGACTCCCCAGATGTGGACTGGGACCCTCAAGGTTTCCTCGGGCGAGAGGAAGAAGAGGAGGCCTCAGAGAGGAGAGAGCAGGAGAGGGTGGAGACGAGTGCAGCTGCGAGGAGGGAGCAGCACAGACTAACTGAGACCATTACAGTCCAGCCCATTCCCCAAAGTCTGGAGCCAGAAACTCAGGGGAGAGACGCAGGAATTCAAAGAGGAGAGTCTCCCAGCAGTCAGATTCAGATGGAACAAAGTCCCTCCCTCCTTCAGGGTAAGAAAGGCCATGTAGTGTCGAGTTGTGCTTTATTTTGTCTGCTAACCAAAAGTTTAAGTAGTGGTTTACAATGTTCAAATGTTGGTCCAACAGGTATCGGGTTTGTCTCAGTTAATTCAGAAGGAGCTTCCCAGATCTAATGATGATGATTTGACGCATGAAACGTTTTCTAATCTATAATAATATATTCAGATGTATCTTGAAATGCCCAACCTAATTATTTTCAGCCTTTTCAGAGTAACATCATTTATGTGGGTAATTATTTTACTCCACAGCGTGTAGCCAGTAATGCAGACTAACATGCTACAAGTCTGCTAATTATTTAGTTCCCACGATGCTATACAGAAGATTTTGTTTAAGAAAGGTTATAACTGGAAAAAGTGATACATGTTTTACCTCACAGCTAAAATGTTGCAGTCCAAATACTGTGTCTCACAGCTCAAGCTGAGCATGTGCTCATGTGCTGTGATGTCCTCCTGATGGTGACATCATCTTTTGTTTCCCGGCAGCCGCAGCCTCACAGACCCCCGAGTCAGAGTCACCCGTCACCAGGGAAACCATTTCAGTCAAGCTGCTCACATCAATGCAACCCAGAGGCCCGGCATCTTCGACGCCAGCTGCCATTGGTCAAAACTCTCAGGAACAGCTGGTCAGCGATCACTGGTTTTCAGCTCTTAACCTATCAGAGGACTTTACCTATCAGAACACTATCATAGCAGGTACAACCCTCACATCTTTAAATAAGCTTACACCTTTATATAACCATGATTAATTCAACTTTAGTTAGAAACATTTATGTATCTGTTAACAACCAAAGAAATGGTAATGAATTATGTTTACTAATTTTTAGATATCCTATAATTTATTTTATTTAAGAAGTTATGGTGCACATAGTATAAACACTGTATTTAGTATGTGTTAATGATAAGAAAAAAACGTGTAAAAGCAACATTATTTAAATATATAGAAACACCAGAGATTTGCATATTTCTTCTATAAACATTATTTGGATTACTTTTATAAAGTTGCGACTGTTGATTTAAAATAACTTGATAAATAGTTAATAGATAGTTGGTAAAGCTTAACACATTGTTTGGACAGATAGTACTTTGTAAATACTTACTAATTAGTGGCTGCTCCATCTATCTATGCCTATCTTTTATTTTATATTACACAAAGGATATGATAAAATACCATTAAAGCATCACTACAATATGAAAACATTATTCATTATCATTTCATTGTTTGTTAGAATAGAAATACCTATTAACTGTGGCTGTATTAACTATCAATTTACTGTTTATTAATGATGGTTATTAGAAGTATCATGTTCTCACTGGTCTGACCACCGTCCTCACATCTCTTTGTCTTGGTCTTGTTGTCGAGCAAGGTCCTCTCTCTTTCACCCGTTAATCAATACTTTAAATAAGGGAAATATCAGATTTCGCTTTCAGCATGGAGCTTAAAGAACAGGCTGACAAAGATAGCCTCCCCCCCCCCCTCCCCGGAAGTCCTGCCTGCTCATTGAGTCTCCATAGTTACGCTCTCTGGGGATTTCAGGAATGATTCGCTAATTGCGGGGAAAGCATTTTTGGCATTGGTAGACTTTTTAGACAAGCACACCACCATCACTGATGCTATAATGTCCATGTTGATCACACACAAACACACACACAGAGTAGGAGACAGGTGTGTGTGTATCTTTATTTTGTGGGAGATTGTTTGCACTTACGAGTGTTTGAGACAAAAGAAAAAGCAAGAAAGACAGAGTGCGAGATAAAATCCTGTTCTTAGCTTGGCGGCATTTTAAGTGGATAGTCGAGTAGAGCGCGGTCTTATTTTAGTGGATGTGGGGGGGTTCAGTAAACCCTCAGACCGCTGATGAATGTGTGGCCGGGCTGATGACAGAGTTTAGGGTGTCCTGAATAAATAGCACACATGCATCTATTGGAGCATCATATCTCTTTTGGTTTTATTACTTGTTGTAGAGGCTGTGTTTTCTGTCAATTTGAATATCTCCAGCAACATCATATCAAATATCTTTGCATTTTGTAACATTAAACACTTGAAAAGCTTTTAATTTTAAATGATACCCAACCCTACTTATTGGACTTTGCAATGAAATTATTTAGCAGTATACTAATGTCTCAATTTTCTATGCAAACCAATTAAGCGAGTAATTATTTCCTGAATCAGCAGATTAAAAGAACCATTTCATTGTCAGCAATTCTCTCTGATTATCAGGTTACTTGTTGCCAAGCATTATACAATGAACAAGCTTTATTTCAGGAACATTCACAACTCTTAACAAGAAAAAAGGACAGAACATCAAGCTCCTCATCCATTTATTATCAGTAGTGGTGGCACCGAAAGGTTTGGCCTGGTGACATAACAGAAAATAACCCGGGTTCTCCTGTTTCAGGTGTTAGATGGCACATGAATACCAAACCCAACTCTATATAACTTTGTGTGAGTTCAAAGGAATACCTTCCATTCATTCTGCTCCAGAATCTACCTTTGCATAAAGGAATATGATCTAAGGATTTTGAGAGTTTTGTGTGATTGTGGTGAATCATGTCTTAAGTGTGAAGCTCTTGGAGACTCGATGAGAGGTGGGCGGTGCTGCGAACTAGATTATTTTGGGCTGTCAGGCCTTTGGACTGCTGAGCGAGCAGGGGGTGGCCAAAAACAGCTCAGAGGGGAGAGGGGAGCCTAACGGGACATCGAGAGGGACAGAGGGTGTGAGAGGGAACATTGGAGCGGTAACTAAAATGGCCAGTAAAGGTGAGAACATACGATTGAAGCGAAAAGAGGATTATTTGAGACATCTAGGTAGAACATGTATCTGTTTACTGCATTGAGCTGACAGTTGGCAACTGCAAAGTGATGTGTTTAGTTTTAGAGAGAAAAAAGGCAGTGGAAAGCTACAGAAGTGGAAAGGGTTGGTAACCACTGCTCGGTCTTAGACTGTTAAGCTTTGTGACTTTAGTGTAGAGTTGAGAAGGCTGGACTATCAGGGGACTGAAGGTGGGAATTGAGTGATTTCTCGCTCCTCTTTGATCATTTTACAAGCAGATTCTCTGGAGACGGCAGCGTCAGTCAGCTAGAGTTGTGTTTGCCTTTTAACTGATGAGCTGTACCTATCATGCATGGTAGTGCATGTATAATGAGCCTTCAATTATTCAAAAGAGCGACAGTCATATTCATTTATGTAAACTGTCCTGTTGTGGTATGCTAGTTCATTTTGCCAGCTGGGTTACATGTTTGCCTCTTAAGGTTCACCAGCTGGCACAAGCAGCACTACAGTATGGAATTTATTGGACAGATGTGATTAAGCTGACAGAAACTGGATCGAATGCAATATATTTTGAGGTTTAAATCAAATGATGTCAGGCTGAGTTTACATAAAGTATACACGAGACATGTGATTTATGTTGTTTTTGTTTAATTGGCTGATTTATTAATGAATTTGTAATTCCTTCATGCAATCACTTCCTCATTGCTCAGTTTTATAATATGTAACTAAGTCACCTGCTTAGTACACCAGCATACATTGTTCTGGATTGGATTGCATTATGTGTTGAAGAGAGTGTCCTCGCTGATTTCGGTCATTCACTGTATTTTCATTTGCTGATATGATAATACAGCTGCACATGAAGTTCACCTGAAGTATATTAATATTTGCATAGTACAGGTTTAGTTGAAATTAGCTATTAATGGCAATAATAGTAAGAGGAAGTCTGAAGTGAGGTCCTCTCTAAAGGTACCTAAAGGCTTATTTATCATACCCAGACAATAGCTAATTAGCATATATTATCTTTGCAAAGTTTAGCTTAGCTCTCTTTTAGCTTAGCTTTGCTTAGCTTAGCATAGCACAGCTGGCCTTGTTCAGTCCTAAGGGAACAATATATGGGCACCAGTACTTCTTAAGCTCATTAACTATGTTTGATTAATCTGTTCTAAAACTTTTTTGAAAATGGCGACTGCAGGAAGTGTCTTCCATATGTCCTTTTTTAAGCGTTGACATTGTTCATTGATTTGATACTCTCTGCATTCCAGTGTTGGTCTATTTCAATTGTTCTTATTTAGTTAGACGCTCTGACACCAATGTGCTGAGCAAACCTGTCTCAGAATGACAGCAGCACAAACAAACCGGTGGACAGGTGTGTTTCAGTGGCATCATGGGTAATATAAATTGTGCTCAGTGATGCTTATGAGTTACCTATCTATTGTCTGTGACTAATGCAAAGGCTAAGCAATTCACTGAATGAAAAGCAAAAATAAATATTGAAGGTTAACTCGTTTGGGAATCATGGTCATTTAAAAGGGTTCAAAAGGTGATGTTATGTAAAGAGACACATTTGATGGTTGAAAGACTGTATCAAACAGTATATTCAATTTAATTAAATATCCTTTTGGTATTAATGAAACAAGGAGAATATTGTCATAGCAATAGATACTATTGTTATTACAGTATAAAGATAAAAAGGTAAAATAGCCACAAATTGAAGTTGTCCACTCCTCTAAAGCATGACTCGGACGCCTCTGTCTCCAAGGCAGCTGTTGCCGGGTGACAGAGAGGGACAGCAGCAGGGTGTGGAAAAGGGGCTGCTGACGGCTGATGTCTGTGGGCAGGTGCTGTGAAAGGCTGCACTCTTCTCGGCCGCTTGCTTCCCTCTTTCATCCGAGGGCTAAATTTAGCTGGAGCAGCAGCCTGACGTGTCCTAGTCGCTGCTCTGAGTGCTGAAAGCTGGAACTGCTTTCTGCTTCAGGTTCCCCCTTTCCAACCCTCTTCCTTCTCTTCTCCTTTCCTTCCCTACAGTATGTCAGAACCACTGTTTCCTCTTCCTCTCCCTTGTTCCCAGACAAATTAAAGACCTTTGTGGGGATAAAAGATGGAGGCTCCAGTCATATTGCTAGAAACCAGCTTGTTTAAGATGTTAAGACATTGGTCTGAGCATTTCTGCGACTTCATTCAGGGATTACTAGACTCTACTGAATCGCTTTTTTTATTCATTTAAATGTAATTATTCAAAAACAAATGTCTGCATATCTGTCCTATAAGTCGTAACAGCCAACTGTACTTTAAAAAAAAAGATTTTCTACTCAATACTGTTTTATTTCATCATCTTCCATACACTGTTCTCCATAAATTAACATCACTGTTTTTATTCTGGTTTAATCTTTTCCTCCCTCTCCTCTCACCTTGTCTTTCAGTGATGGACGTGATCTACTGGAAGGACACGGAGCGGACAGGCATGATCCTGACAGGGATAGTGGTCGGCCTGCTGTCCTTGTTCCAGCTCAGCGTCATCTCTGTGCTCTCCACTGTCTCACTGGCTGTCATGTGCTTCACCATCTCAGTGCGCATCTACTACCAAGTCCTCTACATCCTCAACTGGGGAGATGGAGTGCATCCCTTCAAGTAAGATCATATGCTGTCATGTATTCTTTAAGGACACTGGATGTTTATCCCTCCTATTTTCTACAGCTTTCCTAAAAAAGGAACATGGTCAAAATAGGGAAAAGATGCTTGACCCCATTCAGTCACAGTGCATAAATGCTTTCCAAAACAAGAGTCAATTTGGCCACACGCCTTCCACACATTTCTATTTTCTTTCTTTTAGTAAGCAATTCCCTGCCCTTTGAACTTCACATATAATTGGCTGTGCTTATATCAACTAATGTAATATTTTCTCCAATGATGGTTATTAATAAAAAGCTGGCTCAAGTGCTTTCATTAAATATTGATACACCTTTTTCTATAAAAGGCGACTTTTAAAAATGGCTTTTGACTGCTGGTCACTGACTTGATTTATATTTGGGCTTGAGGGATAGGAGCTAAAGAACTTGTACCACTGTGCCATTAAATATAATTATTTGATGACCAGTACAGGAAGTATCACATTTCTGTTTATTGCCAATACTTCTATCCTCCTCAGCTTCCTTTTTTCGCATCTCATGTCCTCTTCTTGTTTTATCTCAGGTCATATTTGGGCATGGACATCAGCCTCAGTGGAGAGGAGGCCGACCTCTACATGCAGAAAGCCATCGCGTTGGCTATGTCTGCTGTTGAATCTCTGAAGGGACTCCTTTTTGTTAAAAACCTCTTGGAGTCCATCAAGGTGAGCTTAGCTAGCCAATTAAGTAAATTTCCTGTGTGTATGTGTGTGTCTGTGTGTGTGTGAGGACAGTTAAGTTGTTCTCTCTTAATGACCTGTCTTTATAGCTTTGCTTCTCCCTGTCTAGTTAACCTCTCCCCTTCATTAACCCAGACATCAGTTCCCTCTCTGCATTCTTTAATTTCTCTCCATCATCAGTCATCTTCCTCCATCCATCATCCCTGCACACATCACTGGAGATGACAGCATTGCCATGCCAACCGTCTCTCTCGTTATGCTAGCTCACAGTTGACGACCCAACTTCTAAATTAGGGCAGCATCACTGACGGCAACTGTCAGACCCACAAAACATATATTTTGATAATAATGTGGAAAGCAATTTGTCCCTTTGGAAAAAAAATCCTTTCAAATTATTATTATTATTAAATTGGTTCTAACAACCAAAAAAGGAAGCAGTCTGCTTTGCTCTTCTCATCTACGCTTTGTTTTCAGCCTCTGGGTATGTCTCTCTTGCCAGTAGAGCCGAAGCATTATTTTAATATTTATCAAACCTGCATCAGTATCACCTGTCATCACCCAAAATATGTTACCACAGTTTTTTATAAATATACCTTTTTTACATATATTTAAACAGTGATTTAATGATTTTAGGTTGAATCAAGGCTATAGATTGTAGTGGTCATTGTTCCATCTACAGCTCTTAATGTCGACAGGATGAATTTGTCAAACGTAACTACAAATTGGAAACTAAAGCATCCGCCAAGTTAATGTGATGTCAAACTGCTGCACAAAATACAGCTTTTGTATATTGGTAGTAATTCTAATACACACAAGCTCTTCTCTTATATTGCTTTTCATTGGTGTGGAGTATATGTGGAGTATTACAGGACATTGTACATTTAAAGTTTTAATATATGACATATAAAGAATATTTGCCTAAATCAAGTGCACACACGTCATAAACCCATATATATATTAATATACTTACACACACACACAGACACAGCAGTGTCATCATATCATCATCAGTATCGATAGAGACACCATCTCTTCACACTAATCCACATAGAAGGTCAGTACCAGTGTCAGATTTATGACCAGTGTACTGTATGTACATTGGTATAGTGTGTCACGTATCACTGTAAAAATGTGATCTATTTAGTTGCCACTTTTGTAATGGAGATATTTATATAGCTCTTTGAACAGTTCTAAAAAAAGATACAAATTTGACAATTATTTAAACATTTTTTTTCAGTTCACAGTGCAAGTGTAAACATTAAGAAAAGTTACATAATAAATGAATGCCACTTTGACAAAGTATTGTACATTTAATATCTGAATTTATTTAAATCATACCTGAAATAATAATGGCATTTCGGTAATCAACAGCAGCAGTTTTTGACCAGACAGACTTAAACTATTTGCAGTAAATGGGGAGTCAGTGTAAATGGTTTAGCCCCCTAACCCTCCGAGTGTCAACTCTGACCTGGCCGGTATGTGACCTGGCAGACAGGAGGAGGTGCTCGGAGACGCCTGGCATCAGCTGGAGCCTCTTTCCATCTGAGACAGCGGTGTCCCATATCAGGGCAGCGCTGGATCCCTTACACTGAACCGTGACATGATGAGATATATGGGGACACACAGAGAACCATATTTGGAGTCCTGTACTTAGACTCTTTCCTTTCTTCAACAGAGAGAACATTTGAAGGGCATTATGCCATATTGCAGCGTGATTTACTTCTTTCTGCAGACATCTTTGATGGGAGTTAAACTAACTGAGTAACTGCTCTTTCTCTTTGTCTTAGTTGCTGGTTCTGGTGTACCTTGTGACATACCTGGGAGAGCTGTCCAATGGCCTTACTCTGCTCATCATCAGTAAGAGATCTCACTACTGGAAATGTTGAATCTATTCAAATATAACTGTCTGATTTGATGTCAACTTATCTACTTTTCTCTGTTTTTCTGCAGGTGTAATCGCTGTCTTTTCTTTGCCACTTTTCTACAGACAACGCCAGGTAATAACCCTCTTAATTGGCCCCTTGTACTGTCACTTTAACTGGTCCTTTATTTTCATATTCATTTAAATAACTTAAACACTTCTGTTATTTAACAGGAGCAGGTGGACAACGTCGTTGCACAAATCCAGGGCAAAATTGACAACTTTAAGGACACGTGAGTATAGCTCCATCTTCTGGTGCAATATTGCCACCAACACTGGTATTTTGCTACTGAGTCAGTTTAGTGGTCTGTTGTAGTATCCACACTTGATGTTATTTACTGTATGTTTTCCGGATACTGCTAGTGTCAACTTAACGGTTTAAAACAAAACGGTTGTCTTTGTGTATATCACAGGGACATGTTTGATTAATGAGAACATCCTGTCACTCAGACAAGCTCATTGGAGCGCAGATGATCTGTTGGGTTTAATTTAATTTCCATATAATGTACAATCAACCAGTGTCAACAATTGTGCATTACAATTACAGTCAGATCGGAGCAATAATACATTGATTACAATAACAACAATTAAGCCATTCAATTTATATAACATATAATATATATACAATACATACAGTAAGACAAACATGATGAGGTTTGCAGTAGGGTTAGCATACATGTGCATCAAGTGATGGTTAAGTGTACTTTTGGGCCTTTGCAGCAAATTAATGTGTAAGAATTCAAAACTGCAATGTTGGAAGGACAGGCCCCCAGTAACTATTTTCTATTTATCTCTCTCACAGTCTTTGTAGAATTGCCCAGGGTGGTGGCCCTCCTCCTGACTCAACTCCTGGTGGCGCCAAACCCAAATCCCAGTAAACACTGATGGACAAGAACTTAAGGAAAAGCTCCCAGAGATACAGGATGTCACTCAGATGTCTTACCCCACAGTCTGTGCTCAGAGCTCCAGAGATCGGAGCTCCAGAGACTGGGGAGGGGAGGCTACTTAAACGGACAATGATGAGGATCACGCATGGTACTTTATACTCTAGCTGTATCTAATTTATGGGGTTGGAGGTTGGGGTCGGGGTTTAAACGTAATCAAGGTGTATGAATCTTGAATGGGACTCTTGCTGGTGACGTCGGAGATGAAAAGATTCAATGACACAGCTTGATGTATGTGACCATCGTTGGAAATATTCACTGTTTTTAACATGTTCAAAATGACTCAAGAAGTGTCTTAGATGGTTGAGAGCTGTAGTCCAACTGAGGTACAATGACCACGAATGGAAAGTTCCCACATCAACAGCTACTAACCTAAGAAAAAGGGAAGTTGGTTGATAAGGTGAAAAACAGGGGTCATCATTATTCATGGCAGCATTAAACTGGCAATTAAAGATGCATGTGTCAGCACATGAACTTTTTCTGAATGCATAATCATTTTCATGACTGTTACTCTATGTTAATGCGAATGTGTGTGTGAGAGAGTGTGAGTGTGTGTGTGTGTGTGTGTGTGTGTGTGTGTGTGTGTGTGTGTGTGTGTGTGTGTGTAATTCCTGACCTACAGCTTAGTGAAATGAAAATGCTACCTACACGCAATTAAAGTCACATTTCTTCTTTATTTTTCAATACTTTCTGTTTCTTTTCACCCACATAGGCATTTACTTTATTCACATCATTCATTTGAGTTATATTTTTTTCAGCTCACACCACTGAACATTTGTAACACAATATTTAGAGAAATAGAATCTTCTGCTACAAGTTTAATAATTAAGATGTATCATAAATGGAAGGAAATGGCCTGACAGGACTTCATTTTAGGATCACATGATACAAAATGCAAGTATTTCAGATAGATATCTTCTCTGAACTCATAATGTCATTATTTGAAGCCTTTTGAAGTAATGTGGGAGTGAAATACAGCAGGTGCCTTGTAACAGTAACTGCAGGTTAGTGCATGATCTGATTCAAAGTACTTCAAACTTCTGACAACCGCTTACAGCGACTCCGCCTCCCACAACAAACCACTTCACCTGACCATTGCCTTCCGGAGAATGGTGTTTTGTACATGTACTGTACAATACTTGTGTAATGTGCACCATGACAAGGTATCTTATACATAATTGTAAGTAGATCCGTTTTAGGAATAATAAAATTATTCAGGATACTCTGCAGCTTCACATTTTCCTTTAGCAGTTGCATTTAAACCTCATACCAAAATGTGTTTGTTGTTATGCCTTATTATTGCATAATTTAACTATGTGTGCTTCAGTGAACACGTGTTAACAGACATGATCAGCTAAACCTAAACATGAACACTTGTTAGCCTTAGACATTTGCTGCTTAGTAGCTTCCTGCAGCAGTTTTCTGTAATAATACAAAATGAGATCAATCGTCTTGGATTTCTTCTGAAAAGAACACTCAAATTGTAGGCACTGACTTCCTTATCTATTTCACAGCCTGGCAAGAAAATGTTAATTTAATGAGTTATTTCTTGTCAAGCTACATTTAAAAAAATATGTAGCTTGTCTAGACTCACTTAGTCTAGACAACCACATAATTAACTTTTTAGATTTTGCTGAGATAAATCCAAACAGGAAAGCAACTTCTGAAGAGACAGAATCAGCCATAACATCCATTCTAGTAGTATATGGATTATTTTGTATTCCTGAATACAACTAGGGTTTTAATCTTGGAAAAATGCTTTTTCAGTATGCATTTTATTCGATGTTAGAGAAGGGGACATACTTAAGGGGACATACCATAAAGGGGACATACCATAAAGATATTATACTATCTAACCAAAATGACTTACTTTATGTATGATCTTTATATGTATAGCTTCAGATAATTTTGGGTGACCAGAAACTACACTAGGTGCATGAATATGGGCCTACGACAGTAAATGCTCAATTGTGTTGCTGCTTAAAGCTCCCATGTCATGCTTTTCCGGTTATTACCCGTCCCCTTGTGTGTTATGAAGGTTTTTATGCATGTAAACGGTGTGCAGAGTCAAAACCCTCAAAGTACACCCTGTAGCGAGTAAAACTCTAACACAGAAAATACCTCCCCAAAACGCCTCGTTGGAGATACGTCACTGCCCATTTGAGTCTTCCATTTAGTTCCGGGTACCGCCTGATGTCATGCGGTACCCGGAACGAAATGGACCAATCCCAAAGAGCTATGGCCACACCAGCAGCGGCGTGTTCCTCCTCCAGAGGTTCGAAGAACCGGCATTTCACAGACGAAAGCTTCCAAAAACATTGCCCAGTTTGAGGCCGGATATGCACAGCTTGTTTGGACCGTTTGGAGCAGGGGAAGATCTGGGTATACAACCTGTAAGTTTGCATTGTTATTTGTGTATTTATCAAACAAGACTGTTTAAATGTGTAAACTGTGTTGGACTGCTAAGCCATTGACACAGTGCTAACTGTGCTAACTAAGTTGCTAGAGTTTCCATATATCAACTCTAATATCAGCAGATGGCCTTGCATACATGTATCTCATAGCAGGAGAATGTCTGCATTCACACACAAAATACCTATTGACAGTATACTGCGGGTGATTTGCCGGTCAGTCGCGAAACGTAATTACATTATAGCTGGCGTAGCGATCTAACACACGGAGCTTGAGCTAGTTTTGGTCAGAAAAACATTTTTGTGATGCTACGTTGCTAGCGTTTAAATATATCAACTACAATGTCAGCAGATGGCCTTACATGTTTGTCATGGCAGGAGAATGTCTGCAGTCACACACACGGAATACTCATACAGTATACTCCGGTTTACCGTACATATACTGCATGTAGCTAACGAGGCTAGCTGTATGCTAGCGCAAAACAATGTATTCATGCAAGTTACATTGTATGGTAGCAGAATACCCGTATACGATTGCAATTATAAACACGTTATTGCTAGCCTAATATGAACCACTAGCTTTTGTTCATAGTAGTTTTATTACACTGCATTATAGTTGCCTTTCCTCCAAGCTAACGTTCATATCGTGTTAGCTACCAAGGTAAACAAAGCTAGGTTAGCATATTAGCAGGCAAGCTGTTCATTACACAACTACTACTAACGAATCTAAAACAACTAAGTTTCTCTAATATTTTGTGATTTGAATTTGATTTCGTCCAGCCAGATCCTGGCGGACAATCCATGACGGGGAAGGGATTCTACTACTACTGAGGCGTCGTGCTAAAAGGCACCGCACCGCACCGGCTGTGCGCAGGCAAGAGGAGGAGGAATGGATGATATACCGTGTATATATGTATATTTATGTTCATTTTGTACATTTCTAAAAATAAAGTTTAATGGAAATACTTAGTAGGCCTATCCTTTCTTCCCTGAATTCATATATAGCAAACCATGATTTGATTTCTCATCAAACAGTAGTAGTTTATAACGGGTAAAAATAACTTACTCTTTGTTATGAGAGTAGCTCGTAGGCCACAACGGAAAGACAAGGAGACATACACGAGTTTACAAAACCACGGCACATTTATTGTGGTAAATGCAAAGATAGGTGGTTGAGAGGATCGCAGAGTTAGTCTTCCTGCAGCCACTTTGGAGAGAGACTGGGGCCGTAGTGTCCGGAGGTGTCCGTGATCGTGCTGATTAGCTTCTTCAGCTCCACCCCATCGTAAGACAAAGGCCCTGGGGCCGTCACACTCTTCTATAACAACAGTTAAAATATATATGTATATAAAATATACCGCTGTACCGACGCCATGATAAGACTGATGTTACGCTGAGAGCAGCCGGGAAAAGCACTGACATGGGCGCAGCCTCTCTGGTGGTTGACTAATCAGAACGAGTGGCCGAGCTGACCAATCGGAGCACACTAGGCTCACAGGGAGGGGGGGGCAAGAGCTCCAACGAGTCGTTTAGTGGAGAAAGTGAATACTGCTGAATACACATGCTTGACAGAGATGCTGTATGCGAAACCAATGTGAGTTTGGAAAATTGCACAGTATAAATCTATTTTAGTATACCTCAACAATGTAATTATGATCAGTGGAAATGGCCATGACATGGGCCCTTTAATGTTTGTTACTGGTCCACGGTTTCTTAATGAATGTTGATCTTATAGACACATGTGATTTAAAGTTAGGGTTTTACATATGCACTTATTTTAAAAGGGTCACTTTGGGCCTCTTAATTTGCTTGCCCTGTAAATATTCAGGCATGGTAGTTTCTGTTTCTGTCTCTTTCACACAACCACAAGGAGGCGACAAAAGTCAGGATATTACTTTTAGTGTTTTTCAAGTGTCCAGTGGGTCTGACAGCTTGCGAAAACTGGAGGTCTCCAGCCACTGGACAGTTTTAAAAACTACCCAATCAGAGAAAGAGTTACATTTGAATTTCTCCATTCCTTATACAAGTATGATTTGATTGAGTTGTGTTTGGGTTTTTTATCTTCTCCACTACATTTACAGTTTGTATCCACTGGCTGTTACTTTTTATGCTCAGCTGGCCGCGAAATAAAGTAGGTCAGGTCAGGTGATAGATCTGAGTAGGTTTTATATTTCAGTACTTTATGTGTCATGTTCATAACGGACATAAAGGCTGTCCTCCTTACAGTGGTAGTGACAAGTCTGGACTTGTCTGCCCAGTTTTAAACTCAATGAGCTCATGGCAACACAGTAAGTTGGCTAAAAATAATGACACAATTGGTTGTGATGTGGACTATAAATTACCTTGTTAAAATAATATAAATGAAAGAATCACACGTTAAACAATTTGATATAAATGACTATTCATCAAAGAGTCTAGTAAGCATATGTTTTTTTTAGAATAAACTTCTTTAATACAGACTGCTCAACCTGTCTGTTCAGCCCCCTGTTGGGAGGTAAAGAGGGTGGGATTAGTCAAGACCCGCCCTCTCATTGTAAACGGCTCGGTCCCAGGCTTCAGTCCTGATGCAGATCTGCCACAGTGGAGTTGGTCGCGCGCAGAACAGGAGCAGAGGTGTTACGCACGAGTCCATCTCGAGACTATAAACCTATGATAAACTCTTGTTAAGGAAGGGATTCTGTTCTCATGGTGGGTCCTTCATCTGCCCGTCGAAGAGCGCGGTGAAGTGCTGGCTGTTTTAATGTCACCTCCAAGCACAATGGATTACGGACGGACCATGGCCCCTCCGGTACCCCCCCACAACCCCAACCAGAGCCGGCCAGGGGGGGAGCGGCTGCTGAAGTGCGTCCTGCTCGGAGACGGAGCTGTGGGCAAAACCAGTCTGGTGGTCAGCTACACAACGAATGGCTACCCAACCAGATACGTCCCTACTGCATTTGATGACTTCTCAGGTAAAAATTACTTTACAGCATGGTTTATGCATTAAGCCTTCAAAAGTGAGAACCAATCGATATAAACACATACTCCGCGAGATAGACTGTGCATTGGTATTTGAGCATATTGTCCAGTTATGATGTTGAATTAAAGATATTGTTTTCCACTTAAGAAGTTAGTCCGCTAGTTTCCACCTGCCTGCCAATCACTCCATTTCACCAGCTTTGTCTGTTTTGAGAGCACCCTTTCATCCTGCCATTCACCCTATTTTTCAATTTTTATGATGGATGATTTTTTTCTTTATCTAACTTTCCTCTTTGTTAATGCACGTTAGTTATCCTCCCTGAGATTGCCAGTTTTGCATTTGCCATGGTTCAACTTTCCAAGCTGTCTAACTTGTCCCAGCAGGCTTTGTTTACTGCAAACTGAGTGGAAATATCACAATTTTCCAAAGGGGAAACTTGTTTTAAACTGATCAGTGTTGGCATTACACACACCTGTGACCTGTTGATAACCTTCATGATAACATTCTCAGACCGTCACTCCTGAGCTTTTCTTCAGAAACTCTGAAAACCTTACACTGTGGATGAAGTTGTCACTCCTACATATAATAATCAGAAAGTAGGCCTATTGATAACTGCACAATCACACATTTAGATGTAAGGAATTAATACTTGTGTCCTGTAACCATAACTGTTAGTTTAAATAAATGTTGCTATTAATCACTGACATATTACACTGACAAGCTGTAAAACTGACAACTTGGCCAACACACACCCTATAAAACCCTTGTTGAGAACACACACCGCCCTCAGACGAGCGCTGGCTCAACCCTCCCGTACTGGACAGAGAGCGTCTCCGGCTCATGGGTTTTGGATTGCACAACTCTGCCTATTGTTGTCAGCCTTGACCCGTGAGCCCTCTGCTCCATACTGGAATAGGCACATCTGTTGCAGTGGCTCAGAGGCAGATATTGTCTTTCGCCTAGGCCTGACAGAGAGTGATTGTGCAGTTGGGGCCCTTAATGGTGATGTCATTTCTTGGTGCCCTGGAATCAGAGCGTCCTCTTGAAAGCTGACTTCTGAGCAGTTACGCAATGCCACAGGTGGCACAGCGGAGCGAGAGGCTGCAATAGGGGACGATAAGAGGGAGTTTTAGTCCAAAAAATCAAAGGAGTATCATATGTCAGGGATTATAAAATGATTACACAATGGCGGCTCCATCTCACTTTCCTTTCTTTCTGTCCTCCTGCTCTTTCTCCTTGCCTTTGTATTGCTACCATGCCTGTCCTACTACACGAATCGTTCAAGCAAACTCTTTGATCAGGTTGTATGACCGACTATACACTCCAGGCGTATTGTAAATGTTTCCATGTGCCTGCTGCTTTGCATTGTGCTCACTCCTCTGAAAATAATAAATGGGCCTATAATGAAACTTTAAAATGACTCATCCACTTTTCCAATCTGGAAATAAGGCCTAATAGAAGAGAAACCCTGAACAAACCCCCTATTAGTGGACCTTGGAATGGCCTCTATCAAAACACAGCGCAGAACAAAGCTCACAGAGTGGGTCCGAGCGACAGTAAAGTGTTATGGTCTCAACAGTAACTGGCAGGGTGGGTGGGCGAGACAGAGCAGGCCGTCTGTGAGCGGGAAACGCAGAGCAGGGGGTCTTTGTATTCTCAACTGGCAGGTTTTGTTTATTCCAAAGAATATTCTGGTGTGTGTGTGTGTGTGTGTGTGTGTGTGTGTAGCCTCACTGAAAAAAAGTAATGATGACAGCTGTGACTTATTATCTCTGTGTCTGTTTCTATGTCAACAGCTGTGGTACAGGTGGATGGAAACCCAGTGAGACTACAGTTATGTGACACTGCAGGACAGGTGAGTTTTGTTCAAACACAAACACATATTATATTACATATTTGGCACCCTGTCCATATCACAATGTAGCCTATGCCTCTCAATCTGTCAGGTTTTAGCCATATGCTAGTGGCGTGGCTCTTCTTGGCCATATATCTGCAAAATGACTGACACTTCCTTCAGCATCATCTGAACTTTGTGTTTAGTGCTGATCAGTAAATGTTTAAAGCATATTTCCATCAGCTATTCACCTTTTTCTAGCTTCTCACATGGAAGGATTTTTTAGCTTTTCATGTTTTTATATTATTTTTGTGGGGCTGCTGGTCCTATAAAATAAGCCATTTTACTATCACATCTTAAGCATTTATCTGTTCAAGCGTTTTTATAGTATTTTTTTACTTTGACTGAATAATTAAATAGTTGACTGAAGTATTTAGCACGTAGTCTTTACATCACATGGGCCTCTCGCCTGCTACTTCAGGTAGCTCTTCTGTATAGAAAATGGCTACATTCCTGGGTCTGCTGTCATCTAGAATGAAAATAACACCTCAATAGATAGGTATCCTGTATCTTATGGTGGTGCATTGACAGGGTGATGAAGGAGAGGGAAAAGCCTGAAGGTAGATAGGAGGTATTAATGGAAAAAAACAACTCTCTGCTTTAAGGACATGGTGGTACAGGGAGCTTGCCAGGCAAAAGTTATTGGCTCATTATGATGTTGGTACTCAAGCGCAATCTTTGAAGGAACAGCTTGTGAAAGAGTGTGTTTTTTTCCCCTGGAGCATGGGTGGTTGTTTCATAATCCAACCAAAAGAACCCTGCCCTGGGAGCAGCATATTTGACATTCACAAATGCTGTAAGGGCACTGCCAGTTTAACACACAATCACCTGCGCTGTAAAGTGGAACGAGGCATTTGAACAAGCCCCTAATGCGTCTAAAATCTAACTGCATGTTGAAAGCTGCAACCAGTGTAAAAACGGCACACATGTATGCAGAAAGACGCACACATGCAGACAAGCTTGGGCAAATATGGGCTGATAAAAGTCAGCAAACTGTAACTGTATTTTTGCCATTTCATAAGAGGAGAGCCTGTGCCAAAAAACAACAACAGAGAAATAACAGAGAGAGAGAGAGAGAGAGAGAGAGAGAGAGGCAGACAGAGATAGCCCAGACAGAAAGACAGAAACACAGAAACAGTCTAGAGGAAAATGATAACAGCTGCCGCCAAAGCTGATAAACAGAGCTGCTCTTTGCTCAGAGATGTTGATGTCTGTATGTTCTGTAGATGGACGTCATCAGATTGGAAAGTACAGCCAACGTTTGTGCGGGAAGTTGATAAGTTTCAACTGCATTTTGTTAAGCTTCGCATTCGGACTGTTTACTGATTGTTTGTGAGGATATTGAGGTTGTGTGTGTGAAAATCCGGAGGTGACACAGAGCCTTGTTTAGGTAAAGAGGGATTAGTTGAAAGAGGAATTAGACGTGAGCTGGAAAGGAGAGGGTTAAAGGGAAAGAAGGAGAGGTTTGTGTCGAGTTTCTGCCAAACTTAATCTGTGTACTCAAGGGTGTGGGAGGCCCTTGTTAGTCAAAGCTGCGTGGCTCCAGAGTGTTAATTTAACAGATTCAGTATAGTTGACATAAATGAGGGGGCAGGGCTTGTGTATGCTATGTATTAGCACAATATAAACACAAAATAGTCAGTTTATTTAATTGGTTTTGGCACAATTGCCTTTCATGTGATGTTTTTTGTACTGAAAAGTATTGACCGGTAAATAAATGACTAAAAGTGCTATAGTGTGTGTGTGTGGTCAGTGTGAGTGAAGACGGGAATGGAAATGAGTCATCACACAGTATTTATTCACAGCTAAACGTTGATATTCAGTGGCCTGACATTACCACATTGCTAAATATTTATTTCTCTCTTCAATAGGATGAGTTTGACAAACTCCGCCACTTCTGCTACAGCCGGACTGACGCCCTGCTGCTCTGCTTCAGTGTGGTCAGCCCGGCGTCCTTTCAAAACGTCTGGGAGAAGTGGGTCCCCGAAATACGGCGCCGCTGCCCCCTCACACCCGTTCTTCTCGTCGGCACACAGTGCGACCTGCGGCAGGACGTCAAAGTGCTGATCGAGCTGTCCAGGCGGAGGGAGATGCCCGTGCTGGAGGAAGACGCCAGGGCACTGTCGGAAAAAATTGGGGCTGTAACGTACATTGAGTGCTCAGCGCTGACACAAAAGAATCTGAAGGAGGTGTTTGATGCGGCCATCGCTGTCGGGCTGAGGCAGTCTGACAGGAGAGTGAGGAGGGAGAGGAAGGTCCGCAGCACGGCCGATAAGATGAAGATGCTCTCCAAGTCCTGGTGGAAGAAGTATGTCTGTGTCCAGTAGGGAGACGCTTCCTGTGACTCATGATAAAGCTGCTGACTTATTGGAGGGGACTGAGATTGATGCAAGGACTTTTTTTATGTTCACCTGGACGTCTTCACAGCTTGTTGGTGGATTGACTTTTATTCAATGGAGCAATAGCTCAACAGAGAGCTGTAGAGTCGTTGTAGGAAACATCCTTTTGTTGATGCCTAAAAGACAGATGGCTGTCTGCTACCTAGAGCCCGTCTGAACTGTTAAATATGACTGTGACCAGCATTCAACCAAAAATAATGGAGCTAATAAAGTTTTATGGCACATGAACTCTATATCCTACTGGACGTGTCCAAAGGAAATGTGAGCTGACTTGGAGGGGAGGTGTCCAGACAGTGATGTTATGTACTAAAAGTATACTCCTCGTATGAGTCTGATTCGATGCCCAAACGATGATATAATGATATAATTGTCTATGTTCTACACTGTAATGCATCCCCTAACACATGATTTATTTCACTGAACTCAGAACATGAAGTTAATGTAAACTAGCTTCAATCCCAAATCAAAGATTCCATAATTATACTGTTGAGAGCCAAAGCCACTCCAGCCCCTTGCTTCCTAAATTAAGGAGCAACTTCAGTTTGTGAGTCACATGTGTAACTGATCCTGTTTATTTTTACTCATTTTCTTTTGGATTACAACCAAATTGTAAATTAGTATAAATTACTTTTGAATCTATGAGTTTCTTTGGGATTGTTGCAGTCCAGTTCAGTATAAACTACAAGTTAATGTAGGGATTTCTCTTCACCAGCTTGTGTCTGTGCCACATTTTGAATTGTTACTAAAGCAGTCACACTGTTAGTCGACAACACGGTTAGACGCTCTACACCTAATCATGTCTGATACAGTAGATTCAAGCACCAAACAGTACGAATAAACCCAATATATATTGATTTATGCAATAACACCTGTAGTGCTAAAATAAAAAAGTGTGTTAGTTTTTATAACTTTACCGTTACAAGTTTGCAGCAATAAGTTGGGTGGTGCCACTGTACATTGCACTTATAAAACACAGTCCAAACACATCACTGAAGTCTCGCCATGCAATGGCCTGTGGAGCAGTGGTGTACATTAGACATAGAGCAGCACGTGCACATGTGGTGCTTGAGATGTAGGATTACAGTGTCACTGAAACAGTGGCTGATCTGCATTTTCCCTGCACTACCCACCAGTTTGGATGATCACAGGGTCTTTCTTTGTCATTGCAGTCAGGGCCTTAAACAGATAATTATAATTCTTTCTCAGCCAGCATATTGGAGCTCTCTACTCTTTTGAAATTATACAGTAAATGAGGTGAAATCACCAAAGAGACTGATTATATGTTTGCTTCTTATTTTTCAGAAGCCTGTCATTCAGCTCTGTCTATTTATCTGTTCCTTCTGGGCCAATAACTGATCAGCAGATGTTTGAAATATTGTATATCATTATGTATGTTACATAGTACTCATTTATGATGTTTGTAATGTCATCAGGATAAATCTGTGTGTACATAAGTGAGTCAGTCACGGCTGTGCTGTCCTAATGGTACTTAACAGAATGAGTGTTCAGTTGATGTCTGAATTTTGGCATGAGAGCAGTTTGTTGAGCTGTATGAGCAGAACAAAATAAAATGTGAAATATTTAAACTGTTTTCACTGTTGACTCTTCTATGGAGATTTTATCTCCACTGGTACACTCAAGAGAAAATGACCTGATGATCTGTGTGGAGCAGTGTTTGTTGAACACTTGCTCTCTGGGGTCAAAGGTTATACGATCATCAATAGGTGTTGAGACAGATCTCATGTTCTTTGTTTTTCAGTAAGACATTGCATTACAGAACATTACCTAAAAGGGAAGATGGACCTCGAACCCTAAATACAGATTTTCCCAACTATAATGGAGTTTAGTTAGTGAGTTTAGTAACTGAAGTCTTAAAAAACACTTTCCACTGAAGACAAAAGTATCCAATGGAAAAAGTAATTGTCAATACAAAATGCATGTATAAGTACAAGTGTGACATCCCATTTTCACCTTTTTTAAACTTAGTTTTGTTTAGTATAGTCTACTTTATAGCATGGAACTATACCTACATAGTTTATTCATATTATCCCCTAATGCAACATGAAAGGTGGTGGGAAATGAAGGGCCAATTAAAGTATGATAACTACCAACATGTATTGATAAGACAGAAAAAAGTTGAATATACAAAAGGCAGCTAGCTGCTGGATGTGTTTTAACCTGAGTAGCTTTTTTGCCATGTGATTTACCAAATACTCTTACGTGTCTATACAGTGAGCAGTAAGTAAACAACGTCAGCCACAGCCAGTCTCTAAAATTGACTAAATGCTACATTTTACAACGTTGGTAGAGAGTTAATTGTGACTTCAAAGATTTACTGTAGCCACAGAGGTTTTGTCGGCACGAAGACTTCTAACTATGCAGGATCCGATGATTATAATTGCTTGAAATAGGCTTTTCCTCCTATTCATAGCTACGTGTCTGCACCACAGTATGCAACAATGGGCAGAGAATGACAGTTATCTAGGTATCTTGTACTTGTTTAGAAGTGCTAATGATAGGGTTGGCAGCTAAAAGAGATTTTGTGTCGTCTGGCAGACTGCAGATGAGTCTGTCGTCAAGCCTCAGAGTAGCTGAAACTGAGTTACAAGGTTGCTCTAATTATGATAGTCAGGATGGCTCCACTTTCCAACAATATTTTAGCAGTAAACCCTGTTGTTGTGTCCTAGCAAGGCAGCCATCTTGTGAAACGTCTTGTGGCTTTTGTGTTTGACTGTAATATCTACCTGTCTGCCAGACGTAGGCCTACAAATTATTGTCTTCGGTGGAAGTCTGAGCTGTCAATCATGAAATGATCATGAGTCATTTAGTAGTCACAGCTTCACGTTGGCAAAGCTTCTGGGTCAATCTGTTAGCTTCCAGTTCAGTCGAATGGAGCTGCTCATTTGCTCTCAGAGTTGAGCCTGAGCTGTAGTTTCTGTTGTGAGTTCAAAAAGTATATCTGCTGCTGATGGAAGACTACGAATACCGAGATATTTAATCGACATTTCTCAAGTTATCAACCCAACTAAACTCCTTCAAATGTTGAGGCACAAAGAAAAAACTGTCCGTATAACTTTTATATGTCTAACATATGTCTAATATGTCTAACATAAAACTGGAATCATCCGCCAGCGAGTTTAGCTTACCATAACACTGAGCGAAATGTCTAGCTGACTTTGTACATTTTATGTATGCAGTCTATGGCTCTGTACAGCACATGATTCCTGTAAAATCAAAAATTGTAAGTAAACCTGTGTGGCATAATCACACAGACCAAAAACTCATACGTATGGTCCTCCTGTGAACATATGAGAACATGAGAACAGGTCACTGAAGTAACTACAAGACTGAGGTCTTAAACATACTTTGAAAGAAGATTTATGTCCAGAATAATTAACTGTTCTCAATCGTTGGTTAAGTCTACTGTACGTGTGGGTGTTTTTTAATCAGGGCCCCAGACATATTGCATCGCATTACAAGAGCTTGGGCAACAGTTAATCCTAAAGACAATGTACAAAAGTGGACCACAGTCCCACCCCACAGGCCTGATCGACATCGTTAATGTCCCTCAGTAATCCCGCCCCATGGGCTGAGCTCCAGTCATTATGCTAGTAATTATCTGAGGGGTGCCGAAGAAATCCTTCATCAACTTTAAGACATCAAAACCTATTACAGAGCTGCTCTTTCATCTAGAGTCAGAGTTCACTTGTTACCTAAATGATTCTCAGAAGTTATGTAAGGAGCTGGGTTTGCAGGGCAGAAAGTTCAACGATCATCTGAGTTTTTACAGCTGAAGCCGACTACAGCACAGTTGACTGTGTCACCCATTTCACACCCTTAAAGGGGCCCTATGATGCTAATTTTCAGGTTTCAGAATTGTATTTTGTGCCCCTACTGTGACTTGTTTCCATGCTTTAATGTTCAAAAAGGTCTTTATTTTTCTCATACTGTCTGTGCTGCAGCACCTCTTTTCACCCTCTGTCTGAAACCAGAGCCCAGTCTGCTCTGATTGGTTAGCTGGCCTGCTCTGTTGTGATTGGTCAACCACTTAGAGATGTCCCGCCCCTTAGCACGTACAATGTGTTTGAGCGCTAGCCAATAGAGTGGTGCAGTGACGAGTCCTAAAACCCGGAAGTGAGTTAGCATTTTACCACATCCGGTTCCCTCGTCTCAGAGTCAATGGGATTTCTCCATAGGATTTTGGAAAATAGCTCGAAATATGGTCTGTGGTTGACACAAATTTAAGAGACGGATCACGTTTTGTTCTATGACATTAAATACATCAGCAGTGACCCCACTGGTGATTTTGAAAGAGTTTACGTGTATGAAAAACAATGGTTGTTAACAAGTGGCTGAATAGGACTACAGAAGTTGTCGAGGACGTTGTACGTCATTACACCGAACATGTAAACACTCCCGCTAAGTTTGTTCACCCCTGTTCTGCTTGAAAGCAAGTACCTGCACTCTTGAAAACTGTTAAAACAAAAGCTTCAACTTGTACAATTTTGAATCTGTATTTTTGAATATCGATCTTAAGTTGGCATGACGTTGAAGTCGTGCGACCCTGCTGTACTCGGCTGTAGTTTGTTTATAGCATAACGTTAGCAATTTGCTTCTGGCGATTAGATTTATGATTCGAAAATTATAAAAGTAGAGTAGACATGTGGATATTATCCGGCTGAACAAAACGTGCATTTATCAAACAGGTTCGTTTTCCACAGACCTTATTTCGAGCTATTTTCCAAAATCCGATGGAGAAATCCCATTGCTTTTTTGTCGAGGGAACCCATGCGCAGCTTACTTCCGGGTAAATACGTCATCCCTGCACCACTCTATAGAAGCGCAAGAGTTACATAATGATGTCATTATGTTTTGGAAGTAAACAAAGGAGTCCAATCGAGGGCTTTGAAATAATAATTAAGAAAATACACTTTTTTAAATATATGAATGAATAAACAACTTGTGAAATTGTTGAAGAACATGTTAAAATGCAACTGTCATTATGATAATATATTAAATTATTTATTAACATAATAACTCTATATATTCCATATGATCCTTTTTCAAAAGTCCTAGTTTTACAATCACCGGACTCATCCACACCCAGTTTACACTTCAGCCCTGCAGTTAAATTCCCCAACTGCTCACCTGCATTGCACTCCCTCATCAGCTCCTCTGTATATTAAACAGCCCAGTTTTATTCATGCCATGCCAAACAATCAAGTTGCCATGTTCAGACAAAAAATTCCCCATGTTTTCATATAAAGCAGCTTGAATCGTTATTAAATATCAACAATGAGTCAATAGACTGGGTTTTTTAATGTGAAAGGGTATCTTGCAGTGATACAGTGATCTTCTTGATCTTCTTTTTTTAAATGCAGATACTTGGCTTTCTCTTAGTGTTTGTATCTTCGAACAACAGCTCATGTCCAAAAGTATTATTAAGATCATTACACATATGTAGGCTCTGAGAATCCTAGTCATCAAAAAGTATACAGTGTGGAGTACATTATGTAAACACCAAGTTTGGGCTGTGGAGAACAAATCTGTAGGGTGAACAGATATTACTGCAGAGTAATCAAGCTAGTTTTTTCCCCCGAAAAAGAGAGTTTCACTTAAGTTGATTTATGATTAACAAAAATATGTTTGACTAAGCTCTCTTTTGATTTCTTCTGAGGACTAAAGCCACCAGCCTGCTGTTAGCTAACACTGTGGTAGCAGGAGTGACCTGTCTGGCATGCTACAGTATGGCGTAGCTAGCAGGATTATGTTTTAATAAGCTTATATAAACACCCCCCACAGTGCAGTCTCATTATGGGAAGCTAATTGAGTCGCTCTGTCTCGGGGTCAGCAGGGCCTCTTTGAACTGCTCAGTGTTTTTTTATAAAGAGGCCCATTGCTGCCTCCAGAACATCTGTCCTGTGGTCTGCGAAACATGTGTCTCTTCTTCAGGCAATCTGTTTGGATGTGAACATTTTTGTATCTTTACACTTGCCTGTTATACAGTGTATTTATGTAAAGGTGATTCAACTGTAGCCTCTAGGTTCACTCGTAAAAAAGTTAACTACAAGACCTTGCTCCTCAAGCAAATTCTTTATAAAGCTGTTTAGTAATTTGTAAACCTGACAGAGTTCTTCTTTGTCCTTATTTAACTTCGGCTCCAACTCTGCTTAGTTTCTGTTTGCTTGACGTTTTTTGTGAGTTTTTAAATTTCTGTCCTATTTGAATGCACTGTGTTTTACAATTTGATTGGTCTGTGTTATCAAGAAGAATATTTGCCACTGCTCCTTGGTTACAAAATTCCGTGTATTTTGTATTACATTGCAGTATTGTCGACACAAATTGGTGAATAAAGGGGATACAAAATGAGAAAGCAGTAGTAATCTTTAGCTCTTTTATTTTTTATAACTTTGAATTGTATTTGCTAATATTTTACCATCATTTGAATTCAGTTCAATTAATTCATGGATTTGTGTTTTTACATTCACAATATAATAAGTCCATAAAGTATGGTGCTTCATTCACAAATGCACACACCTTTGTGCTTGTCACATGGGCTTTACAACATGGTAAACACACGAGAAGGTGTGT